ATGCCTTATTCTTATATATTTCCCAGTAATTGTTCTCATATCAGACAGTCTTACCTTGGTTCAGTCAACCAGGTACAGGACCTTTCAGGAGAGGTTTTGGTCAACCCATACCCCAAGGTACTGGAAGACCTTAACCCACTATAGGTCCTTTCCTTAGAAATACAGACTTATGCAATGGGCATTAAATCTCAGAGCCAAGGCCATCGACTTGGCTGCAGAGATCTTATGCCCTGTCATATAACATTCCTCTGATACAAGATCATCCACAAATAATCTTGCTCATGTCTGGAGTTGCTGTGGTTCTGGCTCATGGGTGACGATGGTAGAGCAACCAATTAGCCAGCGTTTCCTCGGGAATCATCCAATCATGAACTAGAAGAGGTCCAGTGTTTTGTCCTACCTTTCTGGTGGCAGCAGGACAGGCATCAGCCAATCCAATAACGTGATACCATGAGACATGGATTCACCATTATCCTTTAGCAGCTCAGCATGGTTGTGCAGATAATTCACCGGTGGGCAAGTCCAGCACCCAGATTACATCCCTTATTTCTAAATTTTTGGTTGGTCAACCACAAACATCTGCTGAGGGTAACCAGCCCATATCATAATGTGGCTAAGTATGACTAGACCACTTGCTGATGATATTGCTGAGAGATTAATACAGGTCCCAATTGCTAGCCCACTGAGCTAAGCATACACCGATGGCATCTAGTGTCTTGTATGAGCAAGTCTGGGATTAAATACTTCTCTCACGTCTGTAAATTATTACATATATTGGGTAGAAGTTACCTCTACTACCGAAGGCTAAATCCTATGGTTACTTCCTAGAGATGACTATTCCCGCAGTCTGACCAGTAAACACAATAGGGGTACTTAAACTCATTAATTGTGCAACTGCTAGGTCACATCAACTCTACGAAGTATCGACTTCAGTTCCCACAATGGCAGTGGCCATTTAGACAGCTCATCTGAGGTTAAACATCAAGCAGCTACTCAGGCTGTATGCCACCTCTGCCACCTTCCCCAACACTGCAATAAACAATGGTGATGAATGGGCTATAAGGTTTGTTTTTGAGTACCCGTGTTAAGGATAAAAAAGCGGGTGTTGTTGATGCTAAAAAATCAAAAGTACAGCAGTTCACGATAGCATGACAGTGAAAGGGTCAAAGAGGGGCGAGGGTAGAGTGGTTGAGTAAATGGTCTAAGGTAGGAATTAATAAGGGAGATTAGAACAAAGTTGTCAATGGAAGAAGTGTGGGATTCTGCAAGGATGTCCATACGGGTAAGGTAGAGATTGGTAAAAGGACAGGTGGGTGCTTCATGCGCAGGGATATGTGAGGCATCTTCATCATTAAAACTTCAGTAGTACCTCGTGGTCACCAATGGAAACTACTTTGCGGTATTAGGCTGAACTGTGGAGGCTCTTGGAGCAGCAGGAGACCCTATAGAAATGGAGACATGACCTACTGGAGTGTGAACATACCCTGGCTTTGTACTAACTCGTGCCCCCTTACCCCCTAGGATTAATGGGTGGATGTAGGGAGACAGGCCTTGCCAGTCCACCTCCCCAAGAGAAACCAAATGGCAGTGAAACATGAAGATAGTGGTGCTTTGGGGAGGGCAAACCCAGCAAATAAGGCAGGCTGTGGATCCCTCTGAATTGGCAACTACAGGGACTCGGAGGTGGGTTTACCTGTCCCATGCACGTCCCAGTGGCAGCCAACCTGGCATGAAGCTTGTGAAGCAAAGCCCAAGGCCAGCATCACTTCTAGGAGAATGTCAGGGTGGGGGCTTAGAGCATCAGCTCTTTGCGACAGGATGATCGGTTGCCACTGTAGCCGGCCCCCGCAACCTGCAGCGCAGTATACTTCCCCCCAGGTTGGGTCCAGGTCCACAGTCTGTCCTCTCGCCCTCACCATCAGCAGCTTCTCGACGACGCATACCGAGACCTGATTGGTTGACCATGGACACCTCACGGCTCGCCTATTGGACCGCAGGCTCCCCTCCTTCCCGGGTGGCTGGCACAGCTCAGACCCACTTAAGCTCCGGCACCCAGACCGAGTTCACCACTCACGATCCTCCAGCCGAGAAAGACACAGCAAGCAGCAACAAGGCCTACCCAGGCCTTAGCCGTCGGGGGAGCCGCCCCGGCTCTCCCCGTCGATCTCCAGCACACCAGCCATACCTGTGGGCACTCACACCTACACCCAAAAGCTCCTTAAAGAGATGATTGACACCAGTCTATGGCGGATTCAAATCCATTGCCATACCACTAGTCAAGGGAACTGAGGTGGCTGGTAGTGGCGATCAAGCTGCGATCAAGCTGGCTATATATTTGTCAGTCCTCATGGCTCGGGAGTTGGTGTCAGCAGCAAGAATAGCCTCTTATTCCGAGATTTTGCAAGGTCCAAGAAACTGAGGATTTTTGGCTTTTAGTGTCAACACTGACCCACATCATTGGACGTGGTAATGCGGCCAAGGACAACGACATCCTCATTATCACTCACTGAAGGATCCTGCAGGGTGTATCAAAGTGCCGAGTTCTGTGGTTCTGATCGTATATTAGTTGTGGCTACCTTCCAAGTCCACTTCAGAACTCATAGACAATCCAATGACCCTAAGGTGTTTTATGTGGACAGGTTGAAGGAAGGGGAGTGTGCCCAGTGGGTTTGCTGAGGCACTCTCTGGTCGTTTAGCACCGCTATGCAACCTGACAGACCCCGTACTTCTGTGGAACACCTTCAAGCATGTATCACTCGATGGAGCTCAAGAATCAATTGGTGAATGCCTGAGAGTGACAAAATTTTTATCTCACAGGAACCACTGGAAGCCACAGAAGTTTGTTGCACAGCTCATCTGATAGGGTATCACAATTTGATTCCTAGTGCACAGGACACGGGCCAGTTTATTAGGAGTCTTGCAGAGATCATTTATTGGAAAATTAGTTGTCCTCCCAAGCCCTATGAAAGCTGAAATCCAAGCCCTCCTCACAGGTGACTACAGTCCACTCAGAAAGTGGCCAGATCATCTCAGATCCTATTAGGGTGCAGGGCCGTTGGGGCACTGAGCTCAATAGTTTGAGATGTACAAGGTTGATCCACCAGGGAAATAGAGATTGGAGTGAGGAAGTAGTATTGTGGTAGAGATTGAGGAGTCCAGATTCAGAATGGCCAAAGAACCTGAATGGAAAAGGTAGGGGTAGAAATGGGATAAAGAAAATACTATGAGGGAATGTCCAAACATCATAGAAGGGAAAGGGAGGGAGTGAATGAAAGCATTGGAGCAGGGAGTAGGAAAACTCATCTGCGTGCTTCCTAAGTTTGAATCTGAGAATTGACTACTCAGACTCAAACTTTGATGTAGGGCAGCCCCTATAAAATACATTAAGGGCGCCAACACTTTTGGCATACATGCATGATCAGGTTGGGCATTACCACTCCAAGCTGTGGAGTGGTAGTGCCTGACAGAGTGGCTTAAACACCAAGACTTCTACATTGACGGTGAGGGAGATATAAGGTTGGATAGGGAGGGACTGTCCAATTTTTACATGTGGGAGGTCATGTCTATGGAGTAATTTTGGTAATATTGGTGGAGGACTTGTGGCGGCCTCTAGCCTCTAGTTATACTGATATTGCTTCACAATCACCAGTCTGACCAATCCTTGTCATAGATAGGGCAGTTTGCTGGGGAGATACAGTTCCAGTACAAGTATTGAGGAAGGGATAAGGCTAGCCAGTGACATAAGAGTAGATAAGGCTTTAGCTTGAGAGTCGGATGTAACTCTAGCAAGGCGGGAGCTATAAGGGCGGCTGCAGAAGGAAACATTGCCTATTTATTTTTGGAGGCATTGCTGGAATTAGAGAATGTCAGAGTAAGGTGTAAGTAACTAAGTCAGAGTAAGTAATCCCACTTGACTACACAGAGTACTCAGAAGGTTGTAGAGGTAAGGGATAATAGAAGGGTCGGGTCTTGTGGAAGAGGGAGTGTAGTACTGCAGAGAGATGGACTGAAAAGATGCTGGAGTAGTTATAATGAGAAGGAGGTAGCAGATGAAGAAGACTGTGGAGATAGAGTGGAGAGAGAGGAAGAATGCTTTATGTATGCTGTGTAATGATCTGTGTGGGTAGCTTGGATGTACTAAGGTGATATTAGGCATTGAGGAGGTGGTTATAGTAATGTTCAGAGTCACGGTAAAAGAACCTAAGGTCAGGGAACCGAAGGAATTAAAATCACTGTGGCCATTTGATAGAGGGGCAAGCTTTAATGTCCCTATTAAAGGTGCACTTTTTATTATTATTATTATTACTGTCAATAGCAAGCCTGTCGTATGTTGGGGAGAAATGGTCCACACCTCAGGTGTTGAGGGGTAAAGGCTAGACAACTAGATAAGTGGATACCGTTCTCATAACTTCCCTAAACCATTCATGACTGGCACAAAGTCAGTTTTTCATTTTTTTTTTTCAGTACGAAATGGATGATAAGAGGAAATGGAGGAGAGAAGGAAAATTAAAGGAGAAGAGAAGACCATGGGAAATTGGAGTCGAAAATTGAGGCCCAAGATAGGGGCACTGAAACACTCTTTTTCTGTCTCTATATTTCCCTTTTCCGTCTACCTCTCTATTTTACTCTTCCTCTCTAGTTTTAAGTTTTATCCCCCATCTCTCTCTCTCTCTCTCTCTCTCTCTCTCTCTCTCTCTCTCTCTCTCTCTCTCTCTCTCTCTCTCTCTCTCTCTCTCTCTCTCTCTCTCCTACCTTTCCCTGTCTTACCAACTACTATGTACTGAACGGTGTAGGGGCATTAATGATTGCGAAGTGCTAATTCTTTGGTTTCGTAAAACCGTTAGTCACAAACTGAATTGTCGTCAATAGTAATGTTAAACCGGAAACGGCAAAGCAGTACAAAATTTCATGCTGATATCTGCCATATTTTAAATGGTATAGTAATATTTACATCACGTTTCGCGTAAACACAAGATTAGTAAGCCTAAGGCTAGGAATGTGTCTACTAAAACAAAGTTCCGTTATTAATAAACATGGTACACAGTACCGTTTCTGGGTTAAAGATGAGTCATCAGACCTGCCCGTCCCAATGGATACAGACAAAAAATAATGATTTTGGAAATTATTACATATAGACTGCCACAAAACTGAGTTTCTTAATATGTGAGATAGGGAGGCACTGTCCTATTTCTCTCCTAACCTTTAGGTACAGTCCTAATTATGTAGGAACGCCATCCATAAGAATTTATCAAATTAGGTCAAGCTAATATAGTTGTCGATGTGTCCAGAAAAGATTTTTCCGCGTTGAAATTTGATCTCAAATGCATTACGGTGTCAATCTAATATACTTAGTCAGAACTAAGCATTTTCCATTTGTGAACCACCCCTCTAGTGTCATTTCTCGAAAACTGCCGAATTCCATCTTAAAATATAAACTAAAGTACCTATATACACAAAATTAAAATGACAAAATCATTCCAATATCCTGTGTTAACACTATAACTCTCACTTCGTAAAAATATTGTAGCTGCCATTCCTCACGCACCTTCAACAACGCAGCCGTCGACCGGTTCAAACTATCGTACCACCAGTTTCCCCAGATATTCGTACATGTTATCGAAACTATATGTGTGAACATCCTGCAGTTTGATATAAATGCTACTGTGTAACTAATTCCTTCATTATTACATGTATATTTTGTTACTTACTTTGAAAAATCGAACACAAACGATGTTGCCATTGTTAACCTTCCAGAGTGTGTGCCGTAGCCAAAATACCTGCAAACTTGGTGTGTTCCCTTACTGAAGTCAGTCTTATTCTATCAGTAAGATTTTGTTTACCATTTGCGGCATATGTCAGGGTTATATATCAGATTCACTTCCAATATATCATTTCAGGAAGGGGCGACGTAGTTGTAGTTATATATTAGAGGTATGAACTACAACTACAAATCTAGTGTGCTAAGACCAATCTCCAAAAGTTGATCTACTGAACTAACTGAAGTTATTTTTAAGTAAGGAAGCACATTTATGCGTTGCGCAGGGATACCTCCATTTGTTTTTGACACGATTTCCCATTTCACGGTTATGTATGTATAATCGGACTACAAACAAGTGCCATACAAGCGTATGACATTTGTCACATTAGTGTTGTTTTACAAGTAAATGTAACAACATTGTTTGAAATATTCGGGAATTTACAAAAACAAAATCACTCACAATATAGATATGGCATCACTGACGCAAGGGTGACGCTCTGACCAATCACGAACAATGAAAGCTTTCTGTGTAAAACAGTAACATTGAATAAACATTAATATTTTTTAAAGTGAAGAAACTATCGTTCAACAATTTTTTCAGTATTTTTAGAAGGTAAGTTCAGTCATAGTTTGTCTTTATCATGTTAGAATAAGAGCTGTACAAATAGGTTAACCATTGGAGGGGGTTTCCAGTAACTATGCAATTAGAGTATTCTCTTTAACAAAAGTGTAAAACATGAATTTTATTCTGAACAAAGATAAAGAAGTTTTGGATTTTAGTATTTACAGTTTTACATTTTCTTTTCCGATTCAGTTCATAATGAACACTAGTGGAATTAAGAAGTTGCCAAATATCCATTTCATTTGCTAAAGCGGAGACAATTAGAACTACTCTCCAGAGTGTCGCAAACTGTAACGTTCTAGTTTTTGATATGATGAGTTTATCAGTGGCCATGCAGGTTTCTCCGTAAGACGAAAAAGAAGCACTGATTCCATGTTTTAAGTTTATCCGTTACAACCTTTCGTTTGGTATATTAATGCTTGTTTTCCGAGAGAAATGCAAACTTTAAAGTTTTAGTTTTTAATCTAACATATTTAACGATGTTCACACAGGCTTTGATGTAAAGCAAAACCCAGGCATTTATAACCATTCTGTTATCCGATGTCACATGTCATTCAACGTTAGATGTAGATGAAACCGACATTAGTCAGTAGATCAGTTTTAAATACCTTTCTGTTATAAACCATACTTATTGTGATGAGTAATTACTTACAAATTGTCTGATTCTGTTCATTCCTCCGTATTGCACAGAAATATTTACTGAAGAATTGTCTTGTTATGTTTGTTCATAAATTTGTATTCTACAAAAATGTAAGCATATGCAATCCTTTCCTAGCTTTACCTGATTGCAGACTGAGTTAGCCATCAAGATCCGATTCCAATTCAGAACGAATGTCAGAGTTGTTTGAATTGAGTGTTATAGGTTTTCAGTCGTTTGGCAGCATGTGCACAATGATTAGCGGAGGCTTCATTCTTCATTTCGTATAACAAGTTTGTATTGATGTATTAAGGAACCTACACAAATCAGTATATCAAGTAATTTTAAACAGTTTTCTTGTTAACCATAGTTGCTGCAAATTATCCAATAATGAATTCATATGTTTGTATTGTTTATTAACTGAGGATTTGTTGTTTCTATTCATTCATGTTTTAACTGCACAAAAGTATAAGTGTTTAGAACCCTTCCCTACCCAAACCTGATTGCAGATTCCATTAGTCAATTCCGTTTTCTATAGTAGACTCCAGGTCAAAGTCAATTTCAAGGTTGCCTGAGTTTAATGTTATAGATTGAGTTCAGTCAGATTGTATCATGTACACCAGGAATTCTCAACCTGAGGACCACTAGATACTTTCGGGAGGGCCTTGAAGCAGTATGAGAATTTTGATGTCCAACAGAATTTTATTTCTCATACAGTTCCAACGTATAATTATTTCGCACAGCAATAAACAGGAATCTTTCCATAAAGTGTTCTTGTCCTATAGCTACTGACACCATTACACTATTCAGAACTAGTAGTAACTGATTCTGAAAAGATGACAGGCACCATGAAGATTATTTAATATTGGTCAGGGACCACAGAATGAAAAAGGTTGTGAACCACTGATGTACACCATCAACTACATTCACTTTTCATTTTGTATGACATGAGGTTAAACCATTCAATCTTCGTTTGGAATGACAAGAATAAAACCATTTAGTTAGATTAACTAGTTGATGCAAGGAATATACATGCACTGTCCACTGTAATTGTTGGAAGTCACTAGTGGTACGGCAGAAAAATCCCAGATTGTTGTCCTGCACATATAGTAAGATTTATAAGATGGCAGCATCTTTACATGAGAACATTAGATTAGATTAATTTAGATTCATACTTATTACTGGGAAATGGTTTATATGTGCATAGGCCTACGTATATATGTGCCGTATGTCTAGATACAGTTTACGAATAACCCTAGCCATTTTTGTTATGTTTAGTTTGTTTGCAAAGAGGAGTACTTTGTCCGTTACTATGTTTACATGATCTCATTTACCCCATTCATAAGAATAATATATATATATATATATATATATATATATATATATATATATATATATATATATATATATATATGATAGCAGTATTGATGATTATAGTAATAGATTTTTTTTTTTTTTTTTTTTTTTTTTTATCCAAAAGTTAAGAAATGTGGTAATTAGGTGTGTAGTTTTATTGCCTGACTGTGCCTTTCATGATTGACAGTATACAGAATTGATAAGTTGAAGTAAAAAGTTGATATTGAAATATGATAATTTTCAGGTTTTTTTAACCTTCATCTTACACTTGAAAAAAAAATCAACCCCCACCCACCCATCCACCATTTGAACCAATTTTTCCATGGATCCGTGTGGTACAGGAAGGCAAGCGGGAAAGGGTTGCCAATTTGTTTTGTCTGTGAAAGTCATGTCACAGACAAAAAATTATCAGTAGGTGCAATCAGTTAGACAACTAATGCCAGGGTTCCATTAGCCACACACAACCCTACAGGATGGCTTCACAATATTTTGAAAAGT